AAAAAAAAAAAAAAAAAGACTTGTAACTTTGCTAACTTCAACGTGTCTTTTCATTTACCCCCCACCTTTCTGCTTGGTACAATTGAAGAAAACCTCAGGTGTCAGTGGGAAACTTGACTTCCAAGAGAACAACTTAAACCTAGTGATTTTAAGATCTAGGTGGAACTGGCTTCCATGATAATTTCCTTTTAGACTCTTTAGTTCCATGATTGTGGGGTTTTGTTTGTTGGTTTGTGATACATGAGATTGAATCCATGCCTCACACATGCTGTGAGAGTATCTGCCACTCAGCTATCCCTCCACTCATCAATTCATTTTAATGAGTTCTAGTAAAGTTCCTCCTAAGAAGTAATAATGAGGGTGGGCTAGTGAGATGGCCACCCTGATGACTTGAGCTGGATCCTCAGGATCCCCGGGTGGAAGGAGAGACCAACTCACAGAAGCTGTCCTCTGACTGTTGCACAAGCACTGTGGGACACATAAATAAGCATGGAGAGTAGAAAAACTGAAATAATAATACTGGGAGGTTTTCTTAGAATTGCTTAAAGTCCCCTCAGAAGTTTAAGGGTTTCAGTGTTGCCAGATTCTTTTGTTTTCGTTTTTTAATCCCAGATGAACCCATCTGCAAAGGAAGTTACACTGGAGTATTTTCTGAAGTCCCTCAGGACATGCAGTCTTGAGACCTGTTCTTGCCCTTCTGTGTCATCCCATCAGGCATTGCATCTGTTTTTCCCAGCATGCTTCTGTTTTCTACTGTCAATACGTTTAAAAGGAACTTATTAGATAGTGGAATGGGGTCCTTGTAACCTTCTTAAAGGGATCAGATGAGTGAAGGCTTCTGGTCTCCTAGAGTTAATTAGAAAACTAACTTCTAAATAACTGGTGCTTCATCTCTCAGTGGTCATTAGGCTGAACTCTGTGGAACCTTGATTAGCAAAATTTGGAACCCAACATTAGGGATTCAGATCTAATTGTCCCATAGATTTTTATTTTTCTGACACAGAGTCTCACTATGTAGGCCTGGCTGGCCTGGAACTCACAGAACTCCACTTGCCTCTGCCTTGTGAGTACTAGGATTAAAGGAATGCTCCACTCCACCTGGCTTTGGTTTAATTTCTGAGACAGGTCTCATGTAGCCCAGGCCAGCCCCAGACTTATTATGTAACGAGGCTATTCTTGACCTCCTGATCCTCCTGACTAGCTTGTTGGGCTTTTTTAACTTCTTAAAAAATGTCCTAACTAATAGAAGACTTGGGGCTGCTTAGGCTTCACTTTTGGCTCAATCTGATCATAGGTGCCATGTCACAGCACTCACTGATGAATTTTATAATGACTGTTGGATTCTGAGCACCCTTGATCAAAGCTTGGAAAGTGCAGATCTGTAGAACTCTCTGATGTCATGTGGGATGTGGGAGTCTAGCATTAAAGCAGATACCTCAAACAATAATACAGCATATTGGGAGGTTTGAGGAAAGCATAAAAACAACAGTAATTTTTACTTTTTAAGAATTTATGGGCTGGAGAGATGGCTCAGCTGTTGAGAGCACTGACTACTCTTCCAGAGGTCCTGAGTTCAATTCCCAGCAACCACATGGTGGCTCACAACCATCTGTAATGAGATCTGGTGCCCTCTTCTGGCCTGCAGGCACACATGCAGGCAGAACACTGTATACATAATAAATAAATAAATCTTTTTTTAAAAAAAAAAAGAATTTATGATTTTCATGAGGAAAATGAAAGGTTAGCTTGTTTATCTGTGGGAGGGGGTTTTGGATTTATTTTATTTTATGTGTCTGAATGTTTTGCCTGAATATATTCATGTGTGCCATGTGTGTGCCTGGTGCACAAATAGGTCAGAAGAGGGTGTCTAAGGTATCTGAAGCCTTGGAACTAGAGTTACAGATGGTTGTGAACCACCTTATGGGTGCTGGGATTGAACCCAATACTCTGCAAGTGTAATAAGTGCTCTAAACCACTGAGCCATCTCTCCAGCCCCCATCTGTATTTTTTTTTAAAAAATACCTTTGCTAACATTTTGCAGTTTGTTCATGACAGAGATCAAAGCATTTTTTGTAATCGTAGTCTTCCTGCATGGATTGCTTTGTTCATAAAAGGGAGCCAAGTGTGATGACATAGTCCCACATTCCCAGCACTGGGGATGTGGAGGCAGAAAGATCAATAAGTTCAAGGTTGTCCTTAGCTGCCTAATGTGTTCCAAGGCCAAGGGCCAGTGGGACGGCTCAGCAGGGAAAAGCACCTGCCACATAAGCACCTGATGACCTGAATTTGACCCTGGAATCCATGGTGGGAGAAGAGAACTGACTCATGAAAGTTGTCCTCTGGTTGGTTTCATGAGCCATGGCATGAGCATGCTTGCACTCATGAACAATAATAATAATAATAATAATAATAATAATAGTAATGAAGGGCTAGTAAGATGGCTCAGCAGGGAAAGACACTTCAAGCCTGATGATCTGATTCCGATAACTGGAACACACTAGTGAAAAGAGACGACCAACTTCTACTAGTCTCCTGGTCACCATAGGCACTACTTTGTGCATACACAAAATGTGTAAATATAAAAAATTTTTAATAAAATAATTTTTCAAAATGTTGGCTGGACATCAGGTGGTGGTGGCACATACCTTTAATCCCAGCACTCGGGAGGCAGAGGTAGGCAGATCTCTGAGTTCCAGGCCAGCCTGGTCTACAGAGTGAGTTGTAAGACAGCCAGGGTTACACAGAAAAAACGCTATCTTGAAAAAAACAAAAGCAAAAAAAAAAAAGAAAAAAGAAAAAAAAAAAGGTGACTAGAGAGATGGCTCAGTAGTTAAGAGCATTAGCTGCTCTTCCAGAGGACCTGGGTTTGGTTCCAGCACCCTTGCCATTTGGGTCAAAATTGCCTGTAACTCCAGCTCCAGGAGATCTGATACCCTCATCTGGCCTCTCTGGGCACTGTACACACATATACAAGCTCACACATATGCACATATTCTTTAAATTTAAAAGAATAAAATTATTAAAAATGCTTATCTCAGCCACTCATGGTAACACACACCTTTAATCCCAGCATTTGGGAGGCAGAAGCAGGTGGATCTCTGTGAGTTCAGGGCCAGCCTTGTGTACAGAACAAGTTCCAGAACAGCCAGGGCTACACAGGGAAACCCTGTCTTGAAAAACAAACAAACAAAAGAATGAGTTTGAGGCCAACCTGGGCTAGATGAGCCCCTGTCTTGATGGGAGACGGGGAGAGGGCATTATGGAGGAAGACAGGTTCTTAACTATCCTGAGAAAAGCCTGAAAGAGGAAGGCAAGGCCTGAGTAGCTGTCTTCTCCCACTGTCCTTTCTCTGTATCTTCTGCTCTTCTCTCCCCAGATCCCAGTGGTAAAAAAGATCCTTTCTTTGGAAACCCACCTACAAAGTCAGTCCTACATTAGATGATGTTGTGACACAGTCCACCAGTGGTGTCCCTCACTCCTAAGGACCCTGTAAAGCAGGCAGAGGTCGAGGTTCTGCAAATCCCTACGAACCACAAACAGTTCAGAGGCCCATTTGGATGGCCTTCGTTCGGAGTCTGTTGTAATAGCTACCGTTTCTTCACTTTAAACTTCATTTGGAGTTTTTGACCTCTTTTCAGATTTAATCTGAACAAATTTTCCTCCTGAATGCCTACCTTAGGTTTGCCCCTGGACAGCCATTTCTGCTTAGGGCCACCACTCCGTTTTAGGTGCTGGCGAAGTTCTCCAGTGTTGGGATTTTCAAAGCCTTTCTGTTTTCATTCCATCTTCCCTTATATCCTAAAGATGCCAAAAGCACTTCCCTCTTGTTCGATTTTCACATAGGCCACAGGGACCTTCTTTTTCAGAAACTTCTCCCATTCGGAAAAATTACCGTAACCCACTTCTTCAGGCAATTTCCTAGGAATGGCAGAGCGCTCCTTTGCAAACTTCTGAAGCATCATTTTAAAATGGACACTCCACAGAGACAGGGCTTCCCAGCCATGGTTATATATATATATACATGTATGGAACTTTACACTTACCAAAGGCCAGTTCATCTGATACACAGGGAACATCCCTTTTTAATCTCTGAGTTCTGATTAAAATCAGAACACATGTGTGTGCATACATGGTATGTGCGTGTATGTGCTGGGGGTTGCTCAGTAGTGTGCTACAATGGAAACAGCTTCAGTTTTCTTTGCAATCTCAAGGTGACAGATACCTCTTATTACCAGATATTAACCATCAAAGTATACATGGCTTAGCACACGACCGTGGGGGTGCTTGATGTGGCTCCTTGCCTAGGAACAGAGGCGTCAGACTGTCAGGGACTGTGAGCCTTGTTCCCACCTACCACTTTCTTTTTCCATTGCCTTTTCTGGTCTTCCAGAGTAGCTTGCTATTTGATGAAGCAAGTTTCTCACTAGCGAACACTTCTTTGCTTACCCTGATAACTTGGGAACGATCTCCTGACCCTTCAGAATGGGAAAGGAAGAAGCCCCATTGGTTTGGTCAGTAGAAAAGCATTTGATGACAGCAAGGAGCGAGGGAGGATTTCTGGAAGTGGAGTGGCTTTGAGGTCTTTTCAGCCGTGGCATTATCCCCTAGTTCCTTTTCTCCGTGTGGCTTCCAAGCACAGTGTCGGAGGCAGCTGGTGTGTATAAGAAAAATATCCCAAGTCATGTGAGATGCAGCTGGACTTCCTGCTCACAGCCGTTGAGCAAGAGTTCTCCAGTCTTCAAATGAGGAAGCCCAGATCCCTTCCCTCTGCCTTATGTAAATCTTCTAGCTGATCTCCCAAGAGTTGCCTGTATCATATCTATAAAAAGCTGTAAAGTTCACACTCTAGAGGACTAAATCTGTGCTGGCCAATCTGAATGACTACTCAGTTATACTAGTTTAGGAAAATCCTGCCCCACCCTGACGATTCATAGTTTCCCTCATATTAGTGATCATCGGGTTTTTCTGCCCAGTGTTTGTATTGAAGATAACTTCCTCACCAGTAAAGACTTGAGGTAGCATTCTAGAACCCCAGTATTTAAACTAGCTGCTGTGGTAACGGTGGAACCCAGGCTTCTTGCTTTCAGTTTTCCCTACCTAGACAGAAAGAAATTCCAGAGGAAGAGTGGATGTAGAGCTCAGTGTTGGGTATGAGGCTCTAGTTTGCTAGATTGTTTGTAGCCATCCCATCTTCCCTGAGGTCTGTTAGACTGGTGTAAAGGACAGCCAGGATGGGCCAGTGAGACACGGAGGAGGAGGGTTTGGGTCACACGGAGGAATCCCTTTCGGTTCTTGCCATGGTCAGAAGCTCATAGGAAAGCCGTAAGAAAGAACAGACATGTAGAGAAGAAAGCTGGTCAGCCAAAGGACAGGGGCAATGCTCTCTTCTTGGATGCCAGCAGCAGCAAGCTGTGTTAACAATAGGGCTCTGTGCCATTGAGTTTGAGAGAGGGAAACTACATGACACTGGGACTTGGGAGCTGTCCTGCCTCTATCTAGCCAGCCAAAGTGAATGGGGTCAGTGTTAGCTGCCTTCATCTATGCAGTCACAAAGGTAAAGATGATACTGGGGGCATATTCCCTCCTGGGAGGCCTTGGCCTCACGCCTCAGCAACTGTGGCAAGACGTGCTAAATAACACCTTTGTTTGAGCCAGGGTTATGCATCGTCAACACTTTTATGCCAAGTCTAGGTGGTTTCAGATCAAGCAGCGAGGACGTGGACATGGACCATCCCTCTGTGCAGCTCTGAAGTAGAGCCAAGCACTCTGCCTGCCTGTAAGTCCCTGCCCACATTCCCTTCACTCCCCTTTCAGTTTTCTAAGTACTACCCCCCCACCCCCATGTCCTTTTGGTTTTGGGGGGCATATCAAAGTGAAGTGCACATGATCAGAAGCAGGCAACCACAGATTATGATTTATAGTAATAAGATGTGATTTGGGCTGAGCACATGATGAAGCAAGAGGATCACCAAATTTGAGGCCAGCCTGGTCTCACAATGAATTCTAGGCTAGCCAGGGCTACATCATTTAAAACCTGCATTTAAAACAAGAGAAAAAGAAAATGTGTTTTCATCTGTCCCGGAACTTTTGTAAAGATGCCTTCGGGAGCTCCTCGTGTTCCTTCCTCACAGCGTTTGAACCCGTAGCTCTTCTTCCCGATAATATCACCTGACCTTCTCCAGGGTCGGTTCCTGGTCTTGTTGCCTGGGTGATAAGGCAGTCACACATGTCGATCTAGCTGGTGGCTCTCTTGAATGATGGACTATTTGTGCTTAGAGGTTACCCACATTCTCTTGCTTTCTGTTATGTTAAAGACAGTGGTGGAAATGCTACTTATCAACAGGAGACATTAATAAGTCTTTGTGAATAATAAAAGTTTTGTTAAGAACTTTCTTACTGTACATTGGAAGTCATCTTTAAGATTAAAAGAAGAAAATGCCCTTAAAATTGAAGGATAACTTCATTGACTCCCTGTGTCTTCATTTCCTTGATTTCTTAGTAGAGGGACTTATCACTTGGCTGTGACCCAGGTAATAATTCCAGAGGCGAGGGAAAGCCTGCTTTCTGATATCTGGTCTGATTTCTAACAATGCCAATGAAGTCCCTTCTCAAGAGAGTACCCCCCCCCCCGCCGCCATAGTTAACGCTCCGATGGCCTCTTCTGAGCTTCTGCTTTACTCCACATAAACCCCCTGTCTTTGCCTCTTGTCCCCTCCTGGAATTATGCCCACCACTGACTCCTGCTCTAGCCCCTAATCCTTCTGTGGCCTCTCCAGCAGAGACTCCTCCTTAGAGTTTGAAAAAGAAAAATGATAACCCAGGAAACATAGTCTTTACAAAGCACAAAAAAAAAATGCTTTGCAATAGTCATTTAATAAGTTTACATATGATCTTAACCACAGACATGGGTGGATTCCATCCTGGGAAAAGTCAGAAGCCACAGGGAGTTGATGAAGAGTTATAGTATCAAGCTTAGAAGGACCAGACCAGCTTTGGAGTCTCTGAAAAGTAGATAGATCCCAAGGGGCTGTGAGTACACAAGAGCAGATAAGCATCGCTGTACAGCTTGGGGCTGGAGATAGGGAAATGGTGGGGCCCTGGAGAGGGACTTGGACAGATTAGGACAACAGAGGGGGAAAGGCTAAATCTAGGTCTGCCAGACACAGATTGCGACGTTGACATCAAATACAGCCACAGTGTGCAATTTTCAGAAAAATGAGCCCAGGTTTTTAACTGCACAGGAGACAAGTGAGCATTTTATGTTCTGTTACCCCAGTGACATCTTGAGCTAACAGTGGCCTTATCCTTTAGCTAAAGCTCCAGTGAGATGAGGTAATGTTTGCCCTTATTTACAGTGTCGTGGGAAGCTGCTTAAGAGCCTAGGAAAGAAGGATGAGACACTGAGTCACACTGACCCCTGCTAGATCAGAATCTAATCCCTACTTTGTTGTCTATTATGGGTTGTTAGATGGCTTTGCTTTTCTCCTCCTCCTCCTCCTCCTCCTCTTCCTCCTCCCTTCTTCCTTTGCTTTTTCAAAGACCCCAACTCTTAAGATTTTATGAAGATCTGCTTACTCAACAGTGGGTTGCTCATTAAGTCTTAATGCTGATGCAGTGGGGACAGTTCATCATAGAATTCTAGGAGGCAGAAAGACAGGTTAGCCTTTGTTTGGAGACCAGCGCTCTACCTCCTGGTACCCTCTGGCCAGCCAATCAGTCCTCTGTCTCCCTTATCTCAGTTTACCTGAGCTGGAAAGGAAGGCTGAGGCAGACCTAATTTTCCAGCCCCTGGTTCTGTGCCCTCGTCTGTGGCCAAGCTGACTTGGCTTGTGTCCCCTCTGAGGTCATTGCTCATTTATCATTTATCTCTGTAAAGTCTGCTTTCTCAAGAGCTGACAACTTGTTCTTTTCGTCCTTTGTAAGAACCGAAGGAAATCTGTCTAGTTGGCCTTTCTCAGAGGCATCCTGTCTGCCCGTGGCATCTGTTTGTTCACCCATGAAAAAGGAGCACATGGTGGATGTGATATCAGTCCATGTCCAGGCCTCCGAGAGGACAGCCGGGATAAACTGGGCAAGGACTCATTCTTTCCACAGCCTTGGGTCTAGATGTTGAGAGCCATGAGGTGCCTATTATATTTGTGCTATGAAAATATTTGTGCAAGGCAGGCCTGAAATCCTCAGCCTCCTCTTATTCCCTTGGCTTTTAACATACCTGACCTGGCTGCCAGGCCTGACATTGACCGTCCTTGACCTGCACTGTGTGTTTTTGTTGTTCATTTGCTCTGTTTTTTCCACTCAGAATTCCTTCACGTTGCAGTGACTGAATCAAAAAACCCAGACTTCCAGATAGATAGGCCAGTGTGCAAGAGGGCCCTTGGAGTCCCAAAGTGGGTCACTTCGCTTTCCTGCCTTGTTTGCCCCTGTTCCCATGAGTGGTTGGCGTACGTGGGGCCATTGATGGAGCTTAGTTGGCAGCAGTGGACGAGCTGGAGTCAGGAGATGGCCCCAGGGATGAAACAGAGTCCAGGTCTGTGCTGGTATATCCGTGGTGACCTGGCTCCAGTTCTCGCCGTTGGGTTACTTGTGGTCCTTTCTAGAGCAGTCTGCATATCCTTGGCTGCTCCCATCTGGTCCGTAGAAAGAAAATACTCTTCCAGGAGCACAAATCAAAATGGATGTGAAAGTCTACCTGAAGGATGGACTGAAGGCTGTCCCAGGGAAGGAACTAGCAGGTGCCTTTTCAGTGGAGGACAGGGGCCCCGCAGCAGAGATGTCCGTGTGACTCATCCAAATGGTAGTAGACTCTCCTCAGCACTGACTAATGGTGCTTTGAGTTGGTGGCAGAGGACAGAGGACCGGGGGAGGGGGGAGGCGGGGAAGAGGGGAGAAGGGAGGAGAATGTGCATCGGGCAGAATTGGCTGCCTGGGGCTGGGTGGGGCTCCTGGTGACTGGGATCAGATAGCTAGGGAAAACAGAGCAGTTACGTAACCGTGTTTACGGGAGCTCAGGTGGTTGTCCCTGAGACCCAGGGCCATGCCAGAGGTGTGCAGGCAGCTGACTAAGAGGGAAGGAGGTCCCTCTTAGACAGGAGGGCATGCAGGAGACAGAGGATGACATACTGGACTGACCAGGGCTGCACTATCTGCTGTTACCTGGCTCTGGAACGCCACTGGAAGCTGCCCAGCTGTGAGGCCGGCAGGCAGCGAGGGGCTGGAGCTAGGGGGAGGAGTCAGGAAACCAGACACCTGGCTCTGGGTCCAATCTCGGAACCTTGCTACGTTTTCTCCCTTTAATCTTCTTAAAACAGGAGGAATTCTCCTAAATATGGACAGAAAAGGGGGGAATTATTCAAGTTTCCTTGAATTCCTCTGACCTGTGGTCCTAGCGATCTTGCATCCTGTGTTTTGTGAGGCCATCCAGATACCAGAGAACACAGTGGGCTCCAGCCAGAGAGGTGCTGAGCCAGCCCAGGCCTGAGTAGCCAGGCAAAGCTAAGCAAAAACGCTCAGCTCTCCAGTGCACACACACACACCCCCTTCCTCCCCACTTGCGTCCTCTAAGACCGTTTACTGGACTCCTCATTCCCATAGAGATGGGACTGGTAGCCAGTCCTCAAGCTCCTTGCCCATGGCTGTACCTTCTCTTGTGAGAAACAGGAAGCTGGGACCTTTGGCAGCTCAGCGGCACCCTCTACATTAAATATTTATCTTGGAGCCCAGGTCAGAGCCCTAGAGCCTAAGAAGTTCGCTGCTGGTGAGGGGGATGGCCAGGATTCCTGGAGTTGGAAGATCTTCAGCTTCGTCATCTCTGGAGAACAAGGAAGACAATGAAAGTGACGTGGCCCTTCTTAGTCCCAAGGACCCTGACAGGTGGGAGAACTTGGAAGAGGAAAATGGGTAGTTCTTTCCCTTCCACGGGGAGGGAAGAGGCTACCTCCCTGGGGTGGATGGACGATTCCAGCTTCAGAGGGGCAGCATACTGCGTCTGACCTCAGAGAGGGTTTCAGAGCTCCTCCACTCCTTCTGTGGGCCTTGTAACCCACCCGACCCCTGTGCCTTCAGCTTTCTTAAAAAGGCAGGTGGATAGTCTCTAAAGAGACCTCATAGGACATCTCATTTAGCCCTCCTGAACTGTGCGATCCTTGCCCTTGTTAAAATACCTCACCACTGGGAACTGGAGCCCGGTTAGTAGGTTTACATCTGTGGAAGCCTGCCAAGCTTCTTAAGACTCGCACCCATGGGAGCCCTGGCACGTCCATCTCTTAAGCTGTTCCTTGGCCTAAGTTTTCCAGGAGATCTTTTTTGAGGGCAGCACCAACAGCTTCCCCCCCCCCCCCCCCCCCCACTGGGGGATGTGAAGGTAATAAGAGGCGAGGGTGCTAGGAGATGTGATGTGCTTGAAAACCACTAACACTCAGGGTGGCTCAGGCACCAATCAAACTGCACTTGGAATCACCGACCATACCCAACACCTAGCTGAAGTGGATCAGAAACCATTTTTACTGGTTGGTTTGTTGGGGACTTGGGTATCCCAGGAGTGAGTCACGGGCTAGAAGTACTCCAGGGTTTCCATTGTCAGTAAACATTTGCCGCGGGCACTTGCCAGCCAAGAGACTGGAGGGGGGTGGGGAGGCGGGAGGGCCAGAGAGTACGGGCAGCCTGTGTGCGGTGTCCTTGGGATTCGCGTCAGCACAGCAGGAACAGCGGAAAAGCAGGATCAAAACAAATTCGGTGAATGGGAACACCAAGACCCTCCTAACCTCATCCCCGCCCAAGGGACCCCACCCTTATCCTCCAGTCCTGCGGCACGTCCAGGGTGCCGCTGGCTCTCTTAAGACAATTCCCTTCCCTAAACTCTGCACGTGTGTGAGCATCCTCACGTTTGCCAGTACACGCGTGTCTGTTCGAAAACGCCTGGCCGCGCACTTAGACGGGCACAGACTCTCTCCAAGTGGGCACTGCCTTCGCTCCGAGGCCACCCTGCCTGTTGTGGGGCTCCCTTATCTCGGTCCCAGCCTGTCTGCCTCCGGGCCTGTCTCCTGCCTCTCCCAGGCCGAGGGCTGCGTATCTAATGCTGGCTCCACCCGGCCTCTGGCACTATCTGCCCTCTGTCCTGGCTCTGCAGAACAGCTCGATTCCCACACCCTGGAAATGTCGCTGGAAACTCTGAGTGGCCCCCCACCAGCCCGCCCGCCCCCTTCCGACGCCAGCTTTGCGGTGGGGGCTCGGGAAGGCATCTGGGAAACCCAGCAGGCTCCCGTGGGACCCTCGGCGGCCCCTCCCGGCGCCGCCTCCTGGCCGGCCCGGCCCCTTGGGCAAGGGGCCACAGCGTCCCCGTGGCGCGCCTGCCGGACAGAGGGCACTCGCGGGAGGGAGGGAGTAGCCGGCCCCACCACACTCCACCGCAGCACAGTCCGGGCTCACAGTCCAGATCCGAGCCCCCAAACTCCTCCCGCCTCACTACTCTCAGGGTCCTGGCTCCCGGCGCTCCCCCTCGGCCTCCCTCTTCCTCGTTGGGCGCCCAGCCTGGCCCGGCGGCGTCCTGACGGGTCACGAGGGCCGCGACCGCCTGCACTTCTCCCTGCCCTCTTGCCCCGAGGGCTCTCCGCGGCTGCGCCAGGCAGGAGCCGGCTGGGATGCTCCTGCCCTCCTGGGCGGCCCCAGGCACCCCCGACCTGCTCGCCGCCGGGGGAAGGTAGGTTCGGGAACGCCAAGGGGCAGGAAGGAGGCAAGACACAGCTTGGGATGGACAGGAGCGAAGGCATAGGGCCCCGCCCCCGGGGCCCCAGCCCCCGAGGTTGTATGAAGTTCCACCACCCGCAATCCAGAAACGGTGAACTTGGAAACCCTGACCTTGTCTGTGGGGAGCTGTGGTTTGGAAAGACCTGGAAAAGCAGAGGACAAAGTCCCCACCATCAGGGCCTCACTATGAGGTGGGAAGGAGTCTACTAACCCTAGAAGTACTTCATTCTTCCAGCCCTTTGGAGAGAGGGCTGCTTGGGTGCAGGGGCTGCCTGAATTCTGGGAACGCACCAGAGGTGTCCGCACACCTGTTCTATGCTCGATAGATAGATCCCAGTTCTCCAGGAGGCCTCTGTCTTCCTTAGGTTCTGCCTGATGTCTCCAGGCAGGCCCACTGGGAGAAAAACCAGGACCATCTTCCTGCCCCATCCTACCCCTGTGTATTCTCAGGAGCACCTTTACATGGAGCTGAGTGGGAGAGGAGCAGATTGAGGTGTCCCAGGGTCTACAAAGCCTGAAAACAGGGGGTGATGGGGGTTTGAACCCTCTTCCCCGAAGAGGACGCTGGGTGGGACGCTAACATTAGGGAAGGAAGGAGGCCTGTCAGCTGATGGGTGCAGAACTGCTGATGTTCAGGGCATCTTGGCCTCAAGCCATCTGCCAAGCAGGGAGGGGTAGATAGCTCCACCGCTAGTCTGCCCGGGCCTCCTCGGTCTTCAATCCCACCTTGCCTCACTTTCCCTCGGCGGAAGGCCAAGCATCCGAAACTGGGGTGTGTGTGCGCGCACGGTTGGCTTTTGGTAAGAGCTCTAATTGGATCCAGCTGGTGGGCCGCGCCTCCTCCAGACTCAACCTCCCCTCCCTACAAACTCAGGGCTTGGCGGGGTCCCCAGTAGGCTGCTCGGATGCCAGAAGGAACCCCCACAAATGCAGACCAGAGAGGGTGCTGCCCCGGCCTCCTTTGCATCCTTGCCGGCGCCTGCGCAGGAACCGAGTATGGACGACAAGGAACCACAGGCCTCTCTTGCGCGGCTTCACCCCCTCGGCCCCCCACAACTCTTGTGCTGTTCACATGACGGCTTGCTGCACACACTCCTGCTGGCGTTCTTTTCATCTTACTCCCATGCTGCTCACATGATCCACCCTGCTCCCCACCCCGCTCCCAAGTCATATTCATCGCCCTGAATATATTCTGCCCTGCACAGGACACCTCCCGAGGTATCTGGTGTCCTTGCTTGGGACCGCCACCAACTCCACAGGCACATACAAGCCTCATGTGGCCTAGTCCAAAAGGTGGTGTAAGTTTATCCTACTGGGGCCCCATCCAGCCATGAAGATGAAGAGGCCCACGATTCTGGACCACGGCTCTCTGGGCACCAAAGCTCTTGGGTGCTCTTGAACCATGACCTCTTCGTCCTCTTGTACCCATCTCTGGGTTCCCCCTTTGCTTGCCTCTGTCTCCCAGGTGCTCTGCGCTCCCTTATGCTGACCCTTGCGTGAGGCAGAGCAACCTACTGGTTTGTCAGACGTGGTTCTGTCAGCCGGGGAGGATGGGTACAGGAGGGTTCGTCCGTGTGCATGTGTGCAAGAGAGCAGCTTCCAGCTCTCAGCCCCACTCCCAGGGCAGGAGCAGGTCCTCCTGGGTTGTCATCTGGGGCTTGGCTTTCTATCCACCCGCCACTGGCCCTGAGAGTTCTGGAGCTGTGATCTGCTCAGGCAGGAGGCCAGCAGGTAGTCCGAATTCCCTTGATCCCAGAAGGAGTGACTGCCCTGCCTGGCCATGCTTCCCAGGCTCTCCTTGGCCCTGCTAGGGATGAGGGCATTGCTGGCTGCTTCCTGTGGTCAGCAGATAGGTGGCCTTGATATTGGCTGTCCTTGTGCCTGTGGGCAAGCAGATGCTACCCGGGGCGTGAAGGTGGCCGAAGAATAGAAACGAAGTCCTGTGAGCCTGGGTCCTCTCTGCCACCTGCCCTAGTTCCCCGACGCCTTCCCTCTAGGGGAGCTGGCTCTCCTGGCACGGAGAGCCCCAGAGGGGTGGTCAGCAGGCTGCAGGCCTGGCCAGCCTCTCTATCCTCCTCCTTGCCTGGCTTCCCCTCCCCCACTCCCACCCAGCGCTCCTGCCCCAGGCCTAACAAGCAGTCCATTGTGCCTCTGGGAGTCTGCACTGGCAGCCTGCAGGCGGGTGCCCAAAGCCGCCTGTTTCCTGGGCCCTTGAGCTCCCACCCAGCTGGCCATAATCCCCTCCCACAACCTACCTTCCTCCCCCACCCGTGGGTTGAGTCAGGAGGGCCCAGGCAGTCCAGCTCAGCAAGGCTTTCTCTTCCTTCCTCCTTCCCTGCAGAGTCCACACCAAGGAGCAGCTGGCACATCCTGCGTCCTCCAAACTTGACCCAAGCATGCAAGGCCTCCCTGCTGGGCCCAGCCTGGATGATTTAATTCCTAGCCACCTCCGAGCCTATATAGGCCCATCCTCCCGGGGGAGCAGGGTGAGTGAACAGCAAGGAAAAGGGTACCCTGGTGGGCCAGCAGTTGATGGGGACACTAGCAGGCCAGGTGAGGGAGCAGGGGACAGAGAGGGGGAGGAGGGAAGACAGCCTGAAGAAAGATCCAGAGAGCCTCCATGGCTTCCTCAGGAGGCCAGACTGTGGCTATGCCCCGGCTACCATCCCTTCCCACTCCAGTGGAACCTCTGGGCCCTAAGCTTGCTGGCTCCTGGCCCCTCTCCACAGGTGCCCGTGATCCGGAATGGTGGCTCCAACACCCTTAATTTCCAGTTCCATGACCCCGCACCCAGGACTGTGTGCAATGGCTACGCTCCACCCAGGAGAGATGGTTCCCAGCATCCAGGTGGGTCTGCGTGGGAAGATCTGCTCTAGGAACACTGTGCAGGGGACGGGAAAAATATCCTGTGCCAGATGGAAAGGAATAGATCTTTCAAGGCCAGGAGACGGTCCCCCGGGGAACTGTGAATTCAGCTTAGGGTGCTCTGGGTAATCATGCTTATCCTGAGAAAGGAACCTTGAAGAGAGAACAGGCTGACACAGCCCTTCCCTCCCTCTTGACAAGGGAAGGATGTGTACAGGGAGCCCTGGCCTTAGGGGTCAAGGGAACTGTAACAGGGCCAGTGATTCAAATGGGAGGGTGAGATGTGCTAGCTTAAGAATGAACAGGGACTGCCCACTCCCTCCCCCCAGATACTCAGGACTCTCGTGCAACCCAAAAGGACACGGGGATGCAGCTTTTGAGCCTGCCATCTGGGCCCTAAGGTCTCTGAGCTCCTGGGGACTCCTCAGTACAATCCAGCCCTGGGAGAGATGGCATCCTTTATTGAGCATTCATGCCCCTGAGTCGGACACTGTGCAAAGGACCTCAGTCATTTAACAAGTGATTATTGGACACTTAACAGCAGGGCAACACTGTACAGACATTCCACAGGCCTCATCTCATCTAATCCATCCATATCCAAGCAAGGTCCCAGTCGTTTATGGGCATCTTCCCAGTGGGCTTCCAGTCTCAGAGATGCTCGGAGTAGATGAGGTTGCATTGAGATCCACTCCCTTGATCATCCTGGCCTTGAAGCATTTATGCCATTAGACGAAAGTACTTAGAAATGAAATGTTCTGGGGAGGTGGGGGTGGGGGTGGGGGGACGGACCCACGGGGAGTTGGGGACACAGAATACATGCCTGGGGGATGAGTTTCTGACTCTCTGAGGGTCATTGTCATACGGGCTGGGTACAGTGACAGGGACTAGAAGTCACCCCGTCTTTGCTGAAGTCACCCTCTCCTTTAACACAAGTAGAAACTGAGGCACCAGGAGGGCGACCCATGGGCCTAAACTTAAACAGCCGGCATCTGGCAGAGCTAGAGTCAGACTTCTGAGTTCGTCCAATCCCATTCCCCCACCAACCCGCCTGCAGCCCGGAATCATTGTCTGGCCACACCCTAGGTGGGATGTCCTCAGCATTTATTGCAAGTGATGATTCCCAGCCCTCCTTCTGCAAACTCTTAGGACAGTCCTAGGAAAACAGAATTGGGTGGGGAGAGATACAGATTGCTCCAAACAAAACCCTTTTAAAATTCATTTTGAAGAACCAAACAAGTGGAAGCCTGGGGCGCTGCTGGGGATGGGGAGCTTTGTGGCCTGTTCACATCACACAGCCAGATAAGGAGGGGTGGAAACTGAACTCACAGGGATCCATGTCCTGAGGAGACAACCAAGGTCAGGTGGGGACCCCTGCCTTTCGGCTAATGTCCCTACACACCTCTCACAGACCCAGCATGGTATCAGACCTGGCCAGGCCCTGGGAGCCGGCCCTCTGCCAGCCCGAAGCAACCTGCCTCCCAGCATGCCCAGAACTGGTCAGCCACCTGGAGCAAGGACAACAAGAGACGGGACAAGCGCTGGGTGAAGTACGAGGGAATCGGGCCCGTGGATGAGAGCGGCATGCCCATTGCCCCCCGATCTGTGAGTCCAGGGCTGGGGGTCACAGAGAGAGGGGGCCCAGAGACCCTCCTAAGTTCTCTGTCTATGACTATAATAGGGGTGAGCATTGAAGGCGAAACCCACACCTTGTGTGTCTGAGTCAGCTGTGACGTGGTACAGATCTCAGCATTGGAAAGCTACCACTGTAAGGGCTGAACCTAGCAGGGATGCCTCTTAGTTTTGCACCCCAGTGGCCTGGCGTAGCACCCACAGAACAGCTGCCCACTGACTGGCTGAGTGAGGGAGTCCTGAGCGATTGCCCCTCCTGGCATGGCAGGCAGGGAAGGATCCTGTGTTCCACCAGGACTCCGGGGGGCCCGACCTTCCCTTCCCTCCGTATCTTGGGGCCAGCCATATTTCCTCAGTCACATACTCAGGAATGCTTTGTAAGGTCCAGATGTGGTGGGCTAGGTGAAATGCCCTCTCTCTCTCCCTACGGTGTTACTTTTGTTTCCTGATGTAGAAAGGAGCGTTGTAGAAGCGTCGGGAATGCAGAAAGAAGGCTGAGGAGATAGCTCAGCCAGTACAGTGCTTGTCACACAAGCATGGGGACCTGAACTCTAGTCCCTGGAACAACAACAACAACAACAACATTAAATTATTTAAAATTTAAATATTTTATTACTCATAATAATATCTATTACTATTAAAATAATTTAAGATTAAATCATTTTAAATTAAAAATTTTAATTAAAATTAACATTTTTTAAAATTAAAGTAAATTAAAAAAATTTTTTAAAGGTAGGCATGGTAATACATACTTATAATCCCAGCACTGGGAAGGGGAGACAGGAGGATGTCTAGGGCTCACTGGCCAGCCACTTTAGCATACTTGGTGAGTTCCAGGCCATTGAGAGAGACGGTCCCAAAAATCCAAGTGGACAAGCTGGTCATAGTGGTGCACATCTTTAATGCCAGCACATGAGAGGCAGAGGCGGGCAAATCTCTGAGTTCCAGGCCAGCCTGGTCTACAGAGTGAGTTCCAGCCTGGGCTGCACAGAGACCTTGTCTCAGAAACAATAAACGAGTGGATAGTGTCTGAGGGATAGTACCTGAGGTTGACCTCTGGCCTCCACATGCGTGTGAATTCACACACATACAACCACACCTACACCCACACAAACATGTGCTCACGTGCGTGCACTGTGCACGCACACACAGATATGTAAAAGCACAAAGAATAAAAATGTGAATCATTCTGCCTCTCACAATGGAGGGTCATCACCCTATACACTGAAGAGAGTCCTTCCATATACCACATGCCACATGAAGTTGCCACAGGAGGAGCTGGAGAGAAGGCTCTGTGGATAAAATGCTTACCACACAACTCTGTTAAAACTAGGTGCTGCGTTATATGTCTACAGTCCCAAAGCTGGGGGGTGGGGGCGACCAGCAGATCCCAGTGGCTTCCTGGCTAGCCAGGCTAGCAGAAAGAATGAACTCCAAGTTCAGTGAGAGACCCTGTCTCAAAAAGTTAGGAGTGGTGCCGCCCGCCGCCTTTAATCCCAGCCCTCAGGAGGCAGAGGCAGGAGGATCCCTGTGAGTTCCAGGCCAGCCCAGTCTACAGAGTGAGTTCTAGGCCAGCCAAAGGCTACCTAGTGAAACATTGTCTCAAAAATAAAATAAAATAAAAATAAAGGGCTGAAGAGATGGCTCAGGGGTTAAGAACACTTGTCTTGCAGAGGACCAGGGTTTGATTCCCACATGGTATAGTTCACCACTGGGCATAACTCCGGTTACAGGGAATCCAACACTCTCTTCCATCCTCTGAGGAGGCAAGTAAAACACTCACACATTAAAAACAAAAGCAAAAACAAAAAAACCTTAAAAAAAAATAAATGAATAAAAATAAATTAGGTAGAGAGCTGGTGAAATGGATGAAGTGGATACAGGCACTTGTCATCATTCCTGACAACCTACGTTTGATTCCTAGACCTGGACAATAGCAGGAGAGAATCTATTCCTATAAATTGTCCTCTGATCTCACACAAGTGGGTGTGGCGTGTGCAGATCCCACCCCCAGTAATAAATGAAAGAAATATAAAAAAAAAACATGGTGGAGAACAATAAACCTCAGCCTCTTACACACACACACACACACACACACAGGCACTCACACACCACCACCAGAGACATTCCTCAGACGCAGGCCATCTACATGAATTTCGAGGTGCCCAGAGAAAGGTCTCATTAGGAAAGTTGTCACGTCTTGTCCTTGGGAAGGATGGGTGACCAGGGAGGCCTGA